TTGGAGCGGCGGCGCGGGGCGCCGCTTGGCACGCGGCCAGAGTGCAGGTATTCGTGCCAAGTCTGGCGCCACATGGGCCGCGATGGGAATGCGGGCTTCGACGATGGCGCGCGCGCGATTCAGCGTGGCCGTCTTGACGGGGCAGCGGGCAATGTCGACCCCAGAGCGCAGCGAGCGCCCCTCGTAGATTTGGCGATGCGCCCTACTACATGCCGCATGGGCCAATCCGTCGCTGGAGACGTGTGGTCCTTGCGTCGTCGAACGTCGACAGCGCGCAGCGCGGGCCAACTCTGGTGGCCTGTAGCCTGTACCCCTCTTCCGCACCCTTTCTCCTTTCAGCCGAAGAATGTATCTGGCGCAGGCGGTCAACCGTAGAATGCGTGATTCAAGTGGTCTGTTGTCGTTGAATACGTTGCGCACCGTGCGCGTTGTAGTTTAGGCTTCGTGGGAGGGCGGCGTGGCGTTTTGTTTCTTTGGCGCGTTGGGGGGGGGGGGGGGGGGGGTGGGGGTCGGGCGGCGGGGGCTCCTCTGATTGCGGCGCGGAAATCCAAGCAAAGAGAGCCAGGGCCAGGGCGGCGCGCGACGGACGCAGAGCCCAGGGCGCGCCGCGGCGGGCCCAGGGCGGCGGCATGGAGCCCGCCCACTGGCCCGCCGCAGGCCACTGGCTACTTAGCTCGTCGGGTGCGCCGAGCCGAGTACGAAGTCGATGTGGTGTGGCCAGGCCCACCCGTCGTTCTTGCAGCACTTGGCCGCGCACGCCCAGTGCGAGTGGGCAATCCGTCTGCCATGGCTCGGGGTTGCGCGCTTCAGAGGGAGAGGGGGGGGTGGGGGGGCTGTGGCGCTGGGGGCGCGCGCATGGCTGCGGGCGGGGGAGTCGGTGGAAGGTTGGGGGGCGGGCAGGGGGTAGGGGCCTGGCGCTGCGGAGGGAGGGGGCAGAGTGCTGGCATGGGGGGGGCGGGGGGTGGGGGGTGGGGGTGGGGTAGGTGGCGGGTGCGTCGCAGCTCGTAGCAACATCCAATGGCGGGCGAGCCAAGGGGAGCGAGCGCGGGCTCTCGGGCAGTGGCGGCGTCGCGTGGCGGTCGGCGCGCGCGAGGAGGAGGTGGAGAAGGGGGGGGGGGGGAGGTGGAGGAGGAGGAGGAGGAGGAGGTTGAGAAGGGGGAGGACGAGGAGGAGGAGGAGGAGGAGGAGGAGGGGGCGGAGGCGGAGGCGGAGGCGGCCAGTGGTTGGCGGGCGCAGCAATGCGTCGGCGCAGAGCTTGCGCTGCCGCGCGCGCGGGCTGGTTGGGGGGGGGTCCAGTCGCGATGTGGGATGGGGCGCTTCTGTGCCGCCGCGTGGCGTTTTCTGCAGTACGCTGTGAACTTCTGTAAGGGTAGCTTTTCCCTTCTGCCGCGTCCCAGCGGTTACTCATTTTCGCCGTTCGCGCCCTTTTGTTCACCTTTGTATGCGCCCGCGTTGTGTTCTAAGTTCCTGGTGTTAGAACGCTCGCGCATCCTTCGCTATTTGCGCCCTTTGCACATGCACCCTTTTTCCCTTTTCTCCTCCCCGGCGTTTCTTTATTTCCTTTCTTAATTCGCGGTGCCGGCGGCGCGCGAAGGGCGACGGCTTCGACGACGGCGTGCGAAATCGACGGCGACGACGATGACGACGACGATGACGTTGTACATTTTCTCCATTTGAGTTACTTCGTGTTTTCTCGAGGGTATCACGCCTTTTGGTTTTCCGTAGTCGTTGATGCGTCGTCGCTTCAGTGTTCAAAAACGCAAGTTGCGTCGTCAGCGCGGTGGGCGATTAAGGGGGCTCACGATTTCGTAGGGCGAGTGTCTATGGTGTTAGGGTTGTTTTTGTTGTTAAATCTGTTGGTAATGTAGGTGTTAGGGGTTGGTGTTGTTGTTGTTAAATATGATGTTGGGTTGGTTGTTGTTGTTGTTAACTATGTTATTGTTAGGTTTTTTAGTGTTTCTCATATTGTTTGCGCGGATGGGGTTCGGCGGCTTTCCCGACTTATCGTGTAAAGGGTTCGGTTGCAAGTGTTGTCGTTGTTTTTGATTTGGAATGCGGTACTGGCAATTATAATATGTTTTTGAGGCATGTTTGTTTGGGTGGCGGCGATAATTTGGGAGGCGTCATATGGCGATAGGGTTATGGGGGAGGGGCGGTGGCGGAGGAGGACTGAGGGGGCGGAGGAATGCTAAAGGAGGGGTGGGGTTCCCCTCTTTCTCTTGCTTCCAGCGTTCGTTCGCTGGTGCGCTGGCGTCAGGACTGGCCGATCGACCTTGTGGCCGCTCAACTTGTCGCATCGTGACTGCGCGTTGGTGTCAGGACACGCCGCGTCGCCTTCACTCGCCCCGCCATCGTCGCGTCTTCACCGACTGGAACTTCAAGCCTTGTCTGAGAACCGAATTCCTTGCACGATTGCCATGCTGAGTGCTGCAGGCGTTCTGCTCCGGTGCAAGGAAGCGGTGGCTCAGACAAGGTTTGTCGTTCAGGTTGGTTCCGCTCCCCCCCCCGCCCCAGCTCTGAGTTTACCGGAGTCGTGGGCCCTTTCGGCCCACTTGAGTGGGGTGCTCCTCCTCTGCCATCCTCCTCGTCCTCCTCGTCCTCCTCGCCCCCCTCCTCCTCCTCCTCCTCCTCCTCCTCCTCCTCCTCCTCCTCCTCCTCCTCCTCCTCTTGTGAGATCGACAGTCAGATCGCCCGTGCGATCGACAGTGACATCGATAGTGCGACCGATAGTGAGATCGATGTGCGATCGGTCGTGGGATCGGCCGTGAGACCGATAGTGAAATCGTTCGTGAGATCGACTGAGAGGTCTGTAGTCTGTATAGTGAGGTCAAGGCGGACATCGATGGGGAGATCGTTACTGAAATCGAAAGTGGGATCGCTCGTGCAATCGGTCAGGACATCGGTGGTGGCATCAATAGTGAGATCGATGTGGCATCGGTGGTGAAATCGATAGCCATATCGACCGCGAGACACCACAGTGGGCTCGATAGTGATCGATTGGGGGAGTCGATCGATTGATGTTTTGGTGCGTTGGTTCAACCCCCCCTCTCCTCCTCCTCCCCCTCCTCCCCCTCCTCCCCATCATCACCATCATCCTCCTACTCATCCTGATCCCCCTCCTCCTCCTCCTCATCCTACTCCACCTCCTCGTCATCATCATCACCATCCTCATCATCAACATCTTCCTACTCCTCCTACTCCTACTCCCCCTCCTCCTCGCCCTCCTCCTTCTCCTCCTCCTCCTCCTCCTTCTCCTCGAGGTCCGACTCCTGATCATGTGACTCCTTCTCCTGTCCTTGCTCTTCCTGATCATCCTCCTGCTCTTCCTTCTCCTCTTCCTGGTCCTCCTGCGCCTCCTCCTCCTCCTCCCCCTCCTCCTCCTCCTCGTCCTGCTCCCCCCGAGGCTTGATTCTTCCTCTTGGGCGTTGAGCCAGACGGGGCGGCGCTGGAGACGCCACCATTGGGATCCAGCCACCATTGGGATCCTCGCAGGTTCTCGAAGTTTACGGTCGGGGACGTTTGCTCAGCGCGTCGCTTCGGCGTCTCCTGCGACACGCTACCCGCTACCCCGTGAAAGCGGACAGCGCGTCGGGAGGAGGAGGAGGAGGGGGGGGGGGGGAGGAGGGGGGGGGGGGGGGGGGGGCGAGGAGGGGAGGGGATGTGGAGGAAGAGGAGGATGAGGAGCAGGAGGAGGAGGAGGAGGAGGAATCGATCTCACGATCGATCTCCCCATCGATCTCGCGATGGACCCCCCGACCGATCTCGCCATCGATATCACAGGGGTCTTACGACCAATCTCACTATTGATCTCACTGTCGGTCCCATGGTCGATATCGCAGCCGATCTCACATCGATCTCATTACCGATTCGATATCACTGTCGACCTCGTTTTCCTATTGACGGGCATATTGTGTCTTACCTTTCTGTCGCCCCTCCACCCCCGACTAAGCCCCGATCCCTAAGCCCTAAGCCGCAACCCCCAAGCCTCGAACCCTGAAGTCCTAAGCCTTAACCTCTACGCCCCGAACCCTAACCCCTAAGCCTTCAGCCCTACCCCATAGACCTGAACCCTAGACCCTAGGCCCCGAACCCTAAAGCACTGAACCCTAAGCCCCGAATCCTAAGCCCCAATCCCTAAGCCCTAAAGCCCCGAAGCCGAACCCCTATGCCCAGAACCCTACACCACTGAACCTGAAGCCCTGAGGCATGCGCCCCGAACCTTAACCCCTGAGCCCTCAGCCCTAAACCCTCAGCCCCGAACCTTCACCCCTCAGCCACATTCCCTGAAGCCCTGACCCCTTATCCCCGAACCCTGAGCCCTAAGATGCATCGTTGGTCTTTGTGGTCTGAGAGTTCTCGCCAGCTTTGTTCTACTTGGGCGAGCGTCAGGGGGGTGATTCACGCGTGCGCCCAGGACGTCACGAGGTTCCCCCCTGGCCCTTCATCACCCCTCGCCTGCCCTTTCTTGTCGCAGCCGCTGCCGTGGCCAATGGATTGTGCTCAGAGCGCACAGGGCGCCTGGTAGTGTGAGCTCTTTCGGGCTGAGCGGGGAGACATGGTGGGGCAACGCAGCCTCGGTGGAGACCGCGGCGGTGGCGGCAGGGGCAGGGCCAAGTCAGGGGGCGGTCGCGGTCGCGGGCGCGGCCGCGCCCACAAGGCGGATAAGTCTTCGACGAGGAAGGTTGCGGCCGTCTGCTGCGACACGTGCAACAAGACTGATCGGGATCTTTGGGTGTTTACAACGTCCCCAACCCCTTTCCGCGGCCTCTGCCGCGCGTCGGCCCCTTCGGACAAATCGACCTCGAAACCTGGCGAGGGCCCGATCTCCGGTGCCTTCCGCCCCTTCAGAAGCTTCGGATGGCAGCCTTCACCCCCCTCCCAAAGGATCTAGCACCGATGGGGCCCTGGTGGGCCCGAAGGGGGTTCAGGATATCTGGTTCCCACGGTTCCTCGAGGAACCCTTCCCCGAGCATTCACCGTTTCTCCGTTCGCTCCCCCAGGACGGGGTCAAGATCATGAAGAGCTGCTCTGGCATGGAGCACTTGCAAGCGATCGTCGATGACGGCGACGTGGCGTGCGACCAGTGCTTGAAGTTTGTCTTCGAGGAGATGCCTGGCGTGATGTTCAAGGCTGCTGTGGAAACCATGACCAGCGGCCAGATGGACGACTTGTTCGACAACGGCACGGTGCCGAGTGCAGTGGCGGAGCAGCCACCGCTATGTCCGTCGGCCATGAGCTCTACGTCAAGGTGTGCGCGTTGGCGGCCAGCGACGTCATCAAGGAGTTCGGCAAGTCTCCGAAGACATTGCAGCTAAAGGGTATACAGGTTGCTCAGAGGCCGAAGGTTGTGATTGTTTATCATTCCATGCCAACGCCAGAGTGGAAGCTCAAGTATCCAACGTTGAAGATATACCATCAGAGCAGCATGGGTTCCCAGCTCAACCATTGCAAGGATGGTGCCAAGCAGTTGTTTGATGGGCAGGCGGAGTTACTGCTTGGGGCGGCTGGCAACACTGAGAGCTCGGCGTGCCCATCTGATGACGGCGGCGCGTTCACTCCCAACTTCGGCTTCCAATCCAGCATCCCAGCTTTCGCTTCAGTGAAAGGCCGACGCGACTCTTTGAACGAGAAGGCGGCGAAGCGCTACGGCAGGACCTCTTCTGGGTCGATCGATGGCGATAAAGACGGTGGAGCCAGCGAGGATTCACATGACCATGATGGCGGTGACGGCGGCGACAGGCGTGGCCGAGGGGGCGCAGTTGGTTCGGGCGATGCCGTCGAGGTGATCGACGACGACCCCGGGCGCACTGGCCCGCCGCCGAAGTCTGCCGCGGGGGCGCTGACCGACAAGGGCGGCAAGACTCCGAACAAACGGCCGCCTTCTGCGTCTCCGACGCCGTCTCTCGCCCAGCGATCCACCAAGACCTCGAAGCCGCCAGGAGCGGACGATGACATGATCAACCCTCGCAGCTGCGGCACGGTCGACTACTGGGCATTCGAGTTGAGGTTCGATCGGGCATTCAACGATTTCAGGAATGGGCGAGCTGAGAACCAGGCAAATATTTTGCATAACAAGGTCACGGGCATCGAGCGCAAGCACTTGGGATTCCACATGGAGCTGCGCAGCAAGGCAAAGAAGTTCAGCCCATCAATGTGCACATCGGAGACAGATGAGGACCTCAGGAGAGACTGGGCTGATTTGAAGAAGGCGCGACCCTGACGCCTATCGCGCTGAGGGGCCTCGCCAAGAGGCACATCGGGTCCCTCTGGAAGACCATCTCGGACCCATGCAGTTCCCAAGAGAAGAACAAGCTCTACTTGGATAAGTTCTTCTCTGCGACCGCGCCGTGGGCGAACCTTGCGGACCCGCCAAACGCCAACATTGACCCCTGCAACGTGACGCTGACCAAGGCTGCCGAGGACGATTTCGAGGTGGCCGAGTTGTTCATGGAGTGGGTGTTCATCCGCAGCTTCAGCGAGCGGCTCGGTTCAGGCGCCGCCGGCGCGGAGAACGTGGAGCTCTTCGTCGAGCAGGGCTTGGCGCACTGGGACCTCCTCCCAGAGGGCGCCATCTTGAATGAGGCGGCTGCGGAGCGCCCCCTTCACGCGACTACCGTGGCAAAAACGATACAGGCGTTGTTTTCTGAGCTCGCTGAAGCCTGACACTACGTTGGATATCTTCGACCAGCTTGGTTCTCTGAAGTCCGAGGCGGCGCGCGCCACTGGCAACCAGAGCGTCATCAGGATCGCGGGCCAGGCGATGTTGACGAGTTGCGGCGACTTCTGGCAGAAGAAGATCGACTGGGCCACCACCCACGCCAAGGCCATCCAGGAGCACGGGGGGAAGTTGCAGGATGCCCGCGCGAAGTTGCTCGACATGTCAGTGGCCGCGCCGCCTACCAGGGCGAGCGGTGGGCTGATGCTGACGATTGCGAAGGAGATCCCCTACTGGGACGCGAGGATCTACGACGGCGTGTCCGACGACCTCAGGAACACGTTGCTCGAGAAGGCGGTGAAGTCTTGCTCCATGCTGACGGATGTTGGAGGGGCGGCGTCCACGGCGGCCCCCGGCCAGGAGTTGCAGGAGAAGCCAGCTGCCACCCTGCGCGTCTTCAAGGAGTTGTTCAAGGAGATGTCAAGCGTATTCCCAGCCGATGAGAATGTCGAGAAGGCTGCGCAGCAAATCCACGACAAACTATTGGACCTGGACCTGGCATCCGAGCACGACGTCGTCATGACGGCACTCAGGGAGTGGGGTCCTGAAATTGAGCTGTCGCGTCGCCTTCGCGATGCTCTTCACGATTGCCGTGCCAAGGAGCTGTCTGATGATGTTCGCGAGCCTTGCTACAAGTTTTTCCAGTCCGTCGTCAGAGGCGCTATCGAGGACACCAGGTTCGGCTTCATGCAGCAGACCGATGGGGCATTCTACGACACCTTGGAGACGCTGGCACCCCACGTGCCGCGCAGCCTCTCCGAGACGCGCTACAAGGTGGCGTGCATGATGAACGCGTCTGGGAGGGCCATGGTCGCGTCCAAGGCCTTGTCTGAAGCGATGGAGCCGCCAGCGGAGACCTCGCCAGTCGATGCGAACACCTTGGAGCGCTTGGCAAAGGAGCTGGTGAGAGCTCTTCAGAAGCAGAAGCAGCACATGAAGGCAGCGCTACTGGACGAGATCAAGCCGAATGCGAGTGCAGCGATCGCCGATAAGATTGAGTGCGCCAAGGACTTGACCATTCAAGTCTGGGCGTCCATCGTGGAGAAAACCACGGGGGCCCTACACGACAAGCTGCGCAACCTAACAGATACGATGAAGGCGACGGCTGGGCTAGCGGAGTTCGATGGGAAGGCTCGCGCCGCCGCCAGCTTGGATGATCTACTGAACGTCTACACGGCCAGCGGTTTGAATCAGACGGCGTTCGGCCTAGGAGGAGTCGGCTTGCAGGGGGGGGCGGGCGCGGGGGGGGCGCCAACGACCGCGCCGATTCCATCGCGGCCCGCTGCCCCTTCCCGGGACTCTCAGGAATCCTCCGGGCCCAGTCGGCCTCGCAGTCGGCGCCGGCGTCGCGCCGCCCGCGAGCGCCAGCCGGCGGGCGGGCCGACCTTGTTGCGCATGTTTGGCGCGAGAGACCCGCGCGGGCCTCGCGCTGTGCCCGCGCCCCAGGGCGACGGCCCAGGCCCTTGTAGCCTCCCGCGCTGACGCGATGGCCTCGCGCGCGGCGCAGGAGCGGGCGCCGCCGACCGTTCGGTTCGGTTCCGCGCACTTCTCATGCGCGAACGCAAAGCCCCCCATGCTGCTCGCGCGCTTTTCGCGCTGGGCAGCACGGGGGGCGACGGCCGCGCGTTCAATGGGAAACCGCAGCGCAAGTTTCCATTCCCGCGCGCGGGGCGGGGCATGAACTTACACATGCGCCGACGGTCGAGAACTCGCGCGCGCGCCCGCGCCCGCCATGTTGGGCGTGCGCACTGGGCCCGGAAATCTGCGGCTCGGCCGCCCGATGCGCCCCAAAAACCGCTCCGCCTCCCCCCCCGCCCCCCTCCCCCTCAAAACTCTTCCGCGCTCTTGGAAAAACCATGCCGCCGAGGCGGGGGCTCGGGCCGCGGCCTGATGGTCCCCGGGGCGCAGGGGAATCAAAGGAATCAGTACGGAATCGTGCAGAATCAAAACAGAATCGGCACAACTGCGACCCCTGATTCTAGCGGAATCAAAAGAATCAGTACGGAATCAATACGGAATCAAAGGAGGAATCGGCGATGGAACCAGAATCGGCCAGAACGGGGAAGTAGGCCAGAATCGGTGCCAGAACCCATGGGGAGATGCCTTTTTCCCGCGAGTTCATTGCGGCGGGTCCGCGACGCGGGCGCTCCGCGCGACTTCGCTGGTTCAGCGAGGCGCGCACTCGGCGCTCAGAGTGAACAGGTTGTTTTTCAGGGCGATATCCTGGCGGCGCGCTGGCGCATTGCCCATTTGCGTATTCCTGGCGGGCTGTTTGAGGGCGACCTGGCAGCGTCGGCCGAATGGCCCGCAAATACCGCGCGGCCGATCGCGCGCCCCATGCGATCACGTCGACCGCCGTGCGCCGCGACGGCCGCGCGCCCCGGGCCGCGCCATTGCCGCGTTGGATTGGACGGCGCAGCGCCCGTCCTCCAAAAGTCGTCACATGCAAATCGCGCGCGTCGAGCCAGCAGCAATCGCTTCCCAGAAGCAGCGTTGACAGGCGCCCCTTGCCCGCTGTCGCCCGCTTCCGATCCAGACCGTAGTTTCTTAGGATGCGCTTGCGCGCATGTGAGCGCGCGGGCAAGTAACGCGTGCGCGCACTTGGCGCAGCCTGGGAAATCCAACATGGGGCCCCCCGGGGGCGCGGGGCGCCGGCGACGCCTCCGCCCGCCCCCCGCGCGCCCGACCCCCCCCGCAAGCCGACTCCTCCTACTTCGGCCCGTGGTGGACCCAGCGCGAGGAGCTCGGCGCTATGAAAGATGAGCTGGCGGCCAAGGCGGGCGAGTTCGGAGTGAAACAGATCCCGAGAACGTCGGGAATACCGAGAGCGTCGTGAAGTCCGTCAGTGGGTTTCTCATCAGTGTTGAGCTCTGCGATTGCTTCCTGGATAGAGTGCTCAGCAAGAACAAGGTCGAGCTTCGCGGTACGATGACACAGATCCAGCTGAAGTTGCGCAAAGCGCAGGTGTTGTCAGGAGACCCCCCGACGGTGCTGGTGGCGCGCTACAGGGATGCGTTGAAGATGAAATAAGGCGTTCGGTCTCTGCCCGATCGTGTGGATGGCCGCGCTCGCGGCCAGTATGCTCGGAGAGCTTGTGGGCAGAGTGCCCACGAGCTCAGCAGTTGCGGCCGAGACCGCCCGCTCGTTCGTGGAAGCGGGGGCTGGCCGAGGCTGGAAAACAACAATCCCAATGGCTTCCGCCTCCCCCGTCCGATTGCAGACCGTTCGGCGTAACCAGGTGAGCTATGCTACGCTATGCAATGCCATCCTCGGCACTATGCCATACAAGCGCCTTTCACGGCATGCGAAACGCTTCGATAAGCGTTATGTTATGACATGCGCCATGTCTGCCTACATACTCATACGCCGTACGAGAGTACCCTAGTCTGCTGTGCGCTGTTCCCGTCTGCTACGTTATGCTATGGTCTCGCGTATTGGGCCAACGCCATGGTGTCTACTCAACGTTTGTTGGTTGCGATGGCGTCGCACGGCATTCATGGGGAACAGCATGGCATGTCATAGGATAGAACAGCGTAGGGAAGCATACCGCATAGCATCGCATAGGGTAGCACCTGGGAACACTAGGAACGAATAGCATGGCATAGAGACGCATGGCATCGAGTCGCTGGCCACGCCCAGCCCATGCAAGGTCAGTGTGCTAGCGCCTCCCCCTCTTCCTCCTCCTCCTCCGCCTTCTCCTCCTCCTCTTCTCCTCCTCCCCCCTCACTTCCTCCTTCTCCTCCTCTTCCTCCTCTTCCGCCTCCCGGCCTCCGAAGACAGAGCGGAAGGCCTGAGGTGCAGCTGCTGCTTGAGAGGTGCCTGTGGCCGACACCGCGGGGCATCTGCCGCCCGCCAGTGTGCAGCGACGCGTGCTGGAAGGGCGACCACGATGGAGGCACCCTTCCTGGAGGTGAGCTGTTTCTCGATGGTTCGGCGTTCGAAGCGGGCTACGAGGAGGTGGCGGCAGTTGGCTGGAGTGTGGTGGCGCTGCAGGCGCACAGTGACGGGTACAGAGCCTCCATCGCTGGCCAGATGGAGGGCCACTGCGTGGACATCAACGGCGGGGAGCTCACAGCGGTGATCATGGCGCTCAGGTTTGGCCAAGGGGTCACGGTGCTGGTGGTCGACTCCAAGTACGTGTACGACGGCTTCTACAAGGTCGGCAGGGTGGGCACCACGGGCTACGCGTACACGTGGGCTCACCTGTGGCGGCGAGCCTGGGACCTGCTGGACGAGCGAGGAGGCCTTGGGCATGAGGTCAGCCTGAGGTGGATGCCCAGCCACAGCACGCGGCGGCAGGTGGCGGCGGGCGAGGTGCTGTACAGAGATTGGTACGGCAACCGACTGGCGGACAGGGCGGCAAAGGCTGCGGCGGCCAGCGGGCGCCTCCCCGTGCGGGACAGAGAGTGCCTGGAGAGGAGTCGAGACGTGGTCGAACGAGCAGCCATGTGGTGCGCGGCAGTCGGCAGCTGGGTCGACGGCAGCGACACCACGCACGGCAAGACGAAGGTGCAGCGCGCGCTGCCAGTGCGCAAGGAGCCAGCGGCGAGAATGGCCTGCGTCTGGAGGAGGCCGCCTGGCCTACGTCCCTGGTGCGAGGTTTGCAGATGGTCAGGCAGATCAGGAGAGTGCCCTGGCAGCATCGTCGCCGAGGCGATCAGGGCCAACAACAGGCTGAAGGCGCAGCAGAAGGCGTCGCACGACCTGGTGCTCCTCGCGCCTGTTGATGGGAGGCTGCTGGTGCGCAGGATGCCGCTGGTGGCTTGCAGGGCGTGCGGGTTCACAGGCGCGGCCAGAGCGAGCTCCTTCCACCTCGAGTGCAAGAGTGTCCCTTCGGCTGCAGGCGCCGCCGCGGTCGCGAGGCTGAGGAAGGGGCTGGCTCCGAAGGTGGTCAGCGAGGTGGCAGTCAACATCACGATGCTGGCGGACGACGTGCAGGAGGGGAGAGGCCAGCCGCCGCAGGGCATCGCGGGGGAGGAGGACGGCCACTCCTTGCGCCCGCCAGGAGGAGCTCCAGGTGGCGGGGAGGGGGAGGACGAGGACTCCCTGCGTCCCCTGACCCCTGAGGGCTCCAGCGCGGCGGCTGGCCCGAGAGTGCGAGCTGGCGGCAGGCGTGCAGCCGCGGCGCGCCAGGCCGCGGCAGGAGGCGAGGCAGGGCCTGCGGGCGGCGGCGACGGGCCAGGCCCGCGGCGCCGCGCGCGCGTGCGCAGCAGCTCACCGAGGCAAGCCGCTCTGACGCCGCCCTCGCTGTCGCCGAAGCGGGCGGCCAAGGTGGCCAAGCAGCAGCAGGAGGAGAGCCAGCGGCCTGAGGCGGGCCCCGCCGAGGGAGAAGACGGGGTGGCTGCAGGTGGCAGCGGCGGCGGACCGCCCCCGCCGATGCTGGCGGACGACGTGCAGGAGGGGAGAGGCCAGCCGCCGCGGCACATCGCGGGGGAGGAGGACGGCCACTCCTTGCGCCCGCCAGGAGGAGCTCCAGGTGGCGGGGAGGGGGAGGGCGAGGACTCCCTGCGTCCCCTGACCCCTGAGGGCTCCAGCGTGGCGGCTGGCCCGAGAGGGCGAGCTGGCGGCAGGCGTGCAGCCGCGGCGCTCCAGGCCGCGGCAGGGGGCGAGGCAGGGCCTGCGGGCGGCGGCGGCGGGCCAGGCCCGCGGCGCCGCACGCGTGGGCGCAGCAGCTCGCCGAGGCGCCAGGCCGCGGCAGGAGGCGAGGCGGGGCCTGCGGGCGGCGGCGGAGGGCCAGGCCCGAGGCGCCGCGCGCGTGTGCGCAGCAGCTCGCCGAGGCAGGCCGCGCTGACGCCGCCCTCGCAGTCGCCGAGGCGGGCGGCCAAGGTGGCCAAGCAGCAGGAGGAGAGCCAGCGGCCTGAGGCGGGCCCTGCCGAGAGAGGAGGCGAGGTGGCTGCAGGTGGCAGCGGCGGCGGACCGCCCCCGCCACGCGAGGCCAGAGGGGCCAGGTCGCAGGAGGAGGTCCAGCCGCCTGCAGGTGAACCTGCTGCTCGATGCGAAGCAGGGGCTGCGGGCGGCGACAGCGTGGACTTGGAGGACAGGTCGCAGGAGGAGAGCATGCCGCCTGCAGGTGGCTCTGCTGCTCGATGCGAAGCAGGGGCTGCGGGCGGCGGAGGCGGCTGGCCGAGGCCGCGGCGCTGCACGCGGGAGCGCAGCAGCTCGCCAGGCTCGGCCGCCAAGGTGGCGAGGCTGCTGCGGGCCGCGCGGGGTGAGGCCTGGCCGACAGCCTCGGGCGCGTAGCTGCGCCGAGGCGCGGGCGCGCGTGGGGCGCGCGCCTCGCAGGGGTGGCCGTGGCTCGACGCGGTCCGCCTCACCCCGCGGGCATCCTCTTCCGCCTCCCTTGTGGCGTCTTGGAGGTATCTTCGAACGTTTTAGTGGGCTCTTGTCGGACATCCTCTTGAAGCTTCAAGCGGGTTTCGTGGGGGGCCCCTTGGGCGCTCATGGAGCGTTTCTTGGGCGCCTCTTGGGACTCACTTGAGGCGCTCTGGGGAGCCTTCGAGGCGCTCTGAGGGCCATTTTGGAGGAAAACTGCCAAAGAAGAGCGGAGCTTCAATTAGCACCGCCCTTCCAGAGTGTCTCGAATCGCTTCTTGGAGTGTTCATGGGGCGTTCTTGGCGCGTTATTGGCCGCTCCTTGGGGCGGACTTACAGCTCTATTGGGCCCCTGTTGGGGCCCAGTTGGGAACTCTTGGGGCCATCTTGAGGCCTCGGATGGGCTTCGGAAGCGAAACAGTGAGAACGCCAAAACCATTGATTGCCCTTAGGGTTTTGAAGCATTTTGGCCTCTTAGGGGCATTGTCGGGGAACTCTTTTGGGCACTTGGGGTTGTCTTGGGGCGATCTTGGAGCGTCGTGGATCATCTTCGGAACCATCTTGAGGCATCTTGCGCCATCGTGAGCCATCTTGGAGGCTATCTTGGGCTCCCTGAGGCCCTCTTCAAGCCATCTTGGGCCATCTTGGACGCTCTGACGACCCGCGGCCCCCCCCTGTCCACTGGGGAGGGGGTAGGGGGAGGGGTAAACTCCTCCCCGAAGGGGAAGAGGGAGGGCTGGAAGAGGAAACGCGTTAAACCACCGACGCCCAGAGGGCTGGTGGGATTTGGGAGATGTCGAATGCTGTGGGGGGAGAAGTTTGGTTTCGAACCCACCCTTGAAGGCTCCTGCGAAGGTCCCCTGAGGCACCCTAAAGGCTCCTGAGTCCCCCTGCCGTAAGGCCCCCTGAAGGCACCCTGAGGTTTGGTTTTGAAGGCCCCGTGAGGGCCCTTGAAGACTGGGGGGAGGCTTCGTTTCGAAGCTCCCCTGAAGGACCCTTGAGGGCTTTATGAGAGCTCTCCTCAAGGCCCTCTGTCATATTTTTCTTGGTTTGGGTTCGAAGCCTCCCCGAGGGGGAGGTCCTTGTCGCTGCGTGTGGTCGTGCCTCCCGAGCCAGTGCGAGTTGTGGCGGCTTGCCGTGTGCGTCTTCGGTGAAGATAACGACGCAGTTAATTTGTTTTTTTTCAACATAGCGCAAGTTTGTTTGATAATTTTTGAGCATTTGGATCACGATTTCAGAAATCTGCCAAATCGTATTTTTGGAGCACTTATAGCGAATTCATATTCTACAGAGTGTAGCGGATCTCCCCCCAAATAATTCTAGGGACATGGCTTGGTAGGCCTACAGGCATGCCAGGACGGTCGGTCCCTGCTCAAGGTGAGGGTCCGAGTAGTAGATGGGGTCGGAGGATCGCGGACCAGCGCATGCCCAGATATCCAACGCACTGAGCGAGTCAATATGGAGGTGCTTCGTTGTGCATCTCGTGGCCCCGACCGGGCCCCCAGACCGTCAGAAAGCGACCCACGATGAAACGCAGGCCCTTGGGAAAAGGTCGGGATTTCCGGGTACCCCGTATCGACAACATCTAGACGTCGGGCCTGTGTGGGCACGCCTTCCATCTTGGCCACAAAGGCGCATACTCGAGGCCTCCCAGATGCGGTCGGAGTAGATGGGGTCGGAAGATCGCGCCGTATCGCCAGGGTATCGCCGATGTGCCTCCATACGAAGCCCGATTTTCTCCACGCCGACGGCGCTGATGCATCGGTGATGCGGCACGATCCTGCAACCCGCGAAGCCCATCTAGGATCCAGGACCAGGAGCCCTCGAGCCTTTCAGAGCAGGATGAGGTACAGTCAAGACGCTGAAACAGGGACCGCTTTGGGCTCAGGAGAGGCTCTGGTTTCCGGGCCGTTCCTCAGGTCCAGGTCGGTGAACCCATTCGAAGCCGAGGCTCGCCGTGGCCAGAAAAGCCCCTTCGTTCCTGATTCAGTGTTCCATATGGTAGCACGATTGCAGTACACTAGCGCCGCTGCTCGTCCTGCAGAGGCTTTGTCACCTCGGCTGGAGTCTCCTCGAGGTGGTCAAAATTTACCCCGGGAGAGGTGTGGGGAGCAGCGGCATCGCTACCTTTTTACTCCCAAGCGTTTGCGCCAGGGCGCTTCAGTGCGTCGACGTCCGATTGTTTTCTCTGGCTGGCGCCAAGGGGAACGGAGGGCGCGCGCAGCCTCACAAGCCATACGAGAAGTAGTGCTCTGATTCTGGGGGCACCTGCCACGACGCGGGACCGCCAAGGGCGGCCAGTCCCCGGCAGGAAGGGGTCCAGACCTTTGGGGGTCCACGCGAGGAGGGTCGCGGCTCCGGGTTATGGACGTCGACGCCGACCGCGACGTCTTCGCTTCGGGGTCTTAGCATGGTTCTGACGATCGGCTCTCGTCGCAGCGCCTGCGCGCAGCTCGAGACACGCTGGCCAGGGGGGGGGGCCCGGGAGGCGCCTGGGGGCCGGGATCGTTCGATCGTGGTCTGCGGCGGGTGGACGCTTTTTAGGGAGACGTTGGACGCCTCGCGGAGGAGGAGCGCGCGCGCGGGCGGGCGGGCGAGAGCGGGCGGCAGAGGGCGGGAGGCGAGCAGGAGCAAGCCCGCGCCCGGCGGAGCTGGCGGACCGTCGTGCTCAGCGGGGGCGCGGTGAGCGGGGGCGCGGCGGGCGGGGGCGCGGCGAGCGTGCAGACGGGCAGGCGAGCGGGCGGAGGGGTGGGCGAGGCGGCCGCCCGAGCGGGCGAGCGGGCGCGCGCCCGCGGCGGGGCGGGCGGGCGGGCCGTCGGGGTGAGTGGGCGGGCTCCTGTCGGGCGGGGGGGGCGCGCGCGGAGGGGGGGGTGGCGGGGCGGGGCGGGGAGGGGCGGGCGCGCGCGCGCAATGCGCGCGGGGGGGGCGGGCGAGCGCTCGGGCAGGGGGAGCACGGTCAAGACGCTGAAACGAGGACGTCTTCGGGCTCGGGAGGGGCTCTGGTTATCTGGCCGCTCCCTGGGTTCAGTTCGTGGGGCCCGTCATTCGTGGCCGAGGCTCGCCGTGGCCGCGTTCCTTCTGGTAGCCCAATGTCTGTGCGAGAGTTGCTGCGGGCAGCTGGTTCCGTCTTCGCCGCCAGGATCTTTTCTCGAGGCGTGGTCGCACCTGTCACCTCTATGCGCCCAACACAACAGTCGCGTGCAGCTCAAGCCATTCTGGCTCAAGCCATTTTGGCTAAAGAGCGAAATCCGAAGTGCGATTACCACGCCCTCTGGAAGATTGCTTGTGCGATTGCCCCGTCCACCATGGTCACGACTATCCCTGTCGTTGTGCTCTTGCTCACGTCCCCAATTCTCACATCAGGCGCTCCGCATGCCACTGCGCCCACCGTCGCCGCTGCATGCGAGGACAACAGTAGCTTCGTGGATGAAATGGTGACCTTTTCACCAAGGCCTGCGACGCCATGGGGCGGTACTTGCACCGATTGGGCGCCATACAATTGCAGCGAGGCCTCCGCGACGTGGGGGTATACCGCATTCGGGCAGGCCGACATCATCCAGAATTGCCCAGTCGCATGTGGTCAATGCGACAACTCGTCCCTTACACTATCTGACGAGAACGCGACGGTTCCCAATGACAGCGCCACATTCGGACCGCTACCCGATGAGGACGTCGAGACCACGGCTCTGTTCGAGCTGTTCTTCGATGTCGAGTGCCTCCGCGGCATACCCAGTAGGGAAGACATGCCCGCTCCTGCGAGCACAGCTTTCCACTATTTCCAAAAGTTTGCAAGTGAGTACAGGATCGAGAGTACTATGTTGAACGTTTTTTTTGTCAATGACAATATGTATGACACTTCTCGGAGGAGTCCCTGAAGCAAACTCTCCCAGACTTATCTATTGGCCCACGACGCTTCTCTTTTTCCTCCAGTGGTGCACGCTGCTATTGGCCCTGATCTTCATATTTTGGTCATACGCTCGCATGCATCAGTATTTTGGCAGTTGTATGCGGACATTAGATCTCGCGGGCACCTCGCCAGTCTTCCTCGACTTGGTGATGGTGCCGGCCTGGTTTCTGCAACCCTCGGTGGCCAGCATCAACGCGGTCATGATGCTGTATTGGCGTGTGTGCATGAGCATGTCGGAAGCCAAACTCAGGTTAAATCGGAGCCGAACTTCGGATTGCATCATCGCGGGTCTTTTCTACGTGTACCCCGTGGGCTACGCTTTAGTGATACCGTCGGCTCACCTTATATACATCGTCTGTACCCTCTTGGTAATATTTGCTATCGTATTCATCCCGTTATCGGTTATAGTCGCTCTCCAGTTCTTTTTTTTTGTGCTAATTCTGGAGCTGGTTGACAGACTGCTGAAGTAGGCGACCGGCGAGAATTTCAATTTAGTCACCACCATCACAGGACCGTATTCTCACTGTGACCAACATGGATGGTTTGTCGCCGTCGTTGATCTCGCCCCAGTGGTCATGACGTTCGCCCCGGTGCTTTGTGCCCACAGCATAGTGCTGGGCTCGATCCTTGCGTGGCGAATTTACCAAGGAGACACTACTGATACCAGCAGCGCATTGGTCCGCATTCTGTACGAGCACGTCTTCGGTGCATTCCACGATTTGGAGTTGAACGTTCCTACCTTCACTTTCGATGTGACGTTCATCACTACGCTTCCTCAGCACATCAGTAAAGCCCTATTTGGCTTTGATCCGACTGAGTTCTTCGTTGCGTGCTCTGGCCTGGCAGCACTAAATATGATAATCTCATGGATCAAGCCGACCATGTTGCTTACGAATCACGTGGTCGAAAAGCTGGTCGGTATAGCCGGCTTTGACACATTGAGTGTTGCCGTTTTGTTTGAAGACGAATATTTTTGGTGAGCGCGTTTCCCCGGTGCCTCTTCTGGCGGGTCGCGCCAGAAAACGCCTGGCTGCAGTTCATACTGCTTATGTTTTTTAATGGTGCGTTGGACCTGGAGGGACGACAGGATACCGACACCGCTGCTCCCTGGGCCTCTCACCACCCACGGGTGACCTCACGCGGACGTCCTGCCCCCGTCCAGTACCCCCGTCCAGGGCCCTCGCCCCGATCCGTCCACATGTGACCGCACACCGAGGCCTTGCTCCCAGCATCTTCTTCCAGGGCCTCGGAAGGTTCAGCGCACGCGGCACAAGCCCTGGAGGGTTCAGTGCATGGCATGGTCCGCTCCTCTGTCTCCCCCTAATAGGGAGCAGCAACGCACGGAGCTTGAATTGCATGCTGAGACGTTTTCACCTAGATGAAATATACCCGAACAATTTTCAATTGTTTTTAATTGGCGTGACGTGTACTCCATACGGTAGTGGTATCCATTATCGACCTAGATACATGGTGCGACCCACCATGTATATATTGATGGTAGTGCCCACGACCTTTGCCTGATCAAGAGCACGACCTTGGTGGATTCCTGTGGGGTCCTTTGGAGCTGGGAGCGAAGCTGAAGCTGAAGCTAGGGGCCCTAAAGGCGAGGAGCAAAAAAGGGGGGAGGAAGCTCTCCCTTCCATCGGGCTGTGGCGACCCCGGGCATTTGCGCGGTGCATGGCACTTTGTGCAAGCACCAGTATAAGGCCGTGCCGAGAGCCGTGGCCCGGGTGTCCCGGCACGCGCCCAGCACGGCGCCGCTTTCTCACGCATCCCCTTCGCAACATACAATCATCCTTCGCCCGCTCTCGCTTTCTCCCCCCCTCCCTCCCTCCTTGTTGCGGCACCACGCCCTCTCTCCCGCTCCCTCCTCAGCCCCTCCTGCGTCACGCAGTGTTGGCGTCTCTGAATATGCCTATGTGTGGGGGCGGAGTAATGTACATAGTTTTTGACAAATCAGGTGCAGGAGCATCGGACTGCGAGGTAGGAAGCCACCGCCGTCGCTTTTGACCCGTCCGCGCTCTGCGCTAATGTTTCGGACTTCCCCGATAGGACTGAGATTCGCACCGTCGTGGTTGCCATCTAGGCCGCCGATCGTCATTGTGCAGGAATTGCCGATTCGGGCTCGGCGGGGGGGGGAAAAAAAAAACACAACAGTCGCGTGCAGCTGATTCTCCAACCTCCACTCTGATATCCCCCTCCCGTACGCACTGATGATCATCGAGTCAAGTCATTCTAATGAGTACCGGCTTTCACTTTCTGCGAAGGGAGGCCCATGATGCAACATCCGACCGAGGAGGAGGAGGAGGACTGAGGAGGAGGAGGGGGAGGAGAAGGAGGAGTGAAGTGCACCAGCGCCAAGGAGAGCGTAAACATGGTGTTTATCGTAAGGATAAGCCATACCATTCCGACCTCGGCTTGCTGGCGGACCGTTTTGAAGCCCCCACCCTCCCTTTCCCTCCTCCTCCCGAACAAAAGAAGCTCAAACTCATTCATGAGGTCCACACTGGTAGGTGTTTGGCGTCGGGCAGAGTTATGATGTCCCTGCGCCCCGACATGGGCGCCCAGATGCCGAAAACTGCGAAACGTAATTCCCCCTCGATGGAGCCTCGAGCCTGGCACCATACCCGTTTCAGGTCTGGTGGTGTCCATTTGGGGCAAGGCGTGTCGGCAGGAGTTCGCAAACCCGCCAGGGGAGGGGTGTGTGCCAACCGGGAAGTTATTGCGAAAGCCTCACAGCCAGTGCCGCAGACCCTGAAGGGGGACGACGACGACGACGACGACGACGACGACGACGACGACGACGACGACGACGACGACGGCGGCGGCGGCGGCGGCGGCGGCGGCGGCGGCGGCGGCGACGGCGACGGCGACGACGACGACGACGGCGACGACGAGAGGAGTGTGTGTGTGTGTTGTTCACGTGCCCATCGAGGAGTTATTTCCCAACACCCAGGTGGAAGACGCCAGACCACCTGGGCGCCTGCGACGGTGCGCACCCAAAAAAAACGATGAGCAGGGAGGGGGATATGCGAGGTTCGAGAGAAACCTCGAACCTCGATCCTCTTGCCTCGGGTCGAAGAACAATAAATGGCATATGCATAACTTTCGGCGCTCCGCGCGGATTTCTTGGATCTGCTCGGAACCCCCCTGGCGGCGCCTCCCTTGCGGGCTCCGCGCGCCACTGGAGGGGGGGTGGTCCAGCGCAGATCCAAGAAGTCCGCGCGGTCCGTGAAAAGCTTATGCTGCCCCGGGGGGGAGGCCGAGAGGGGGGGGAGGACAAGGTGGGTGGATATCATGGTTGGGAAATGGCATCTCCCCAGGTTTCATGGCCCCTCTCCTTCTTTCAACACGCCCCCCGCCCCCCCCCTTTTGGACGCCCGCCTCTTGAACGCCTCCGCTCCGCGAGCCTTGAGCCTCGCTTATCCTCCCTCTCACCTCTCGTTTCTCGTTTCTTTTCTCTGGCTTCCGCCAATCCGCCCCCTTCCTGTCCTTGTCCCTGCCCAGCGGGCCCGGTGCCCTGCGGCAAGCTGCGGGCTCACGGCGGGGTGCCCCTCGTCGCTTCGAGGGGCTGCGGTCGAGGTGCGTTCGCAGCCCTGCCTCACGAGCTTTGTGGTTCATCCGAGCATGGGCATTTGTTGGTCATCCGTTTGGCACGAGGACTGCCTCAACCCTGGGCCTCCCAAGTGGGGCTCGAGTAGATGTCTCCGCATCGCCGATGCATCGGCGACGCGGCTCGATGTGCACTCCCGTTTTGCTTCACGTCCACGTCGCCGATGCATCGCCGACGTCGAGGATGCATCGCCGATGTATCGTCGTTGCGGCGTGATCCTCCGCCCCCATCTGGGATGCATCGTTCACCGCCCACCAAACCACCCCAACCCAACTCGAAGGCCCCGGTTTGCCCTCCATTTCCAGTGGGGGGGGGGGGTCGGGGAACATTGAACAAGAACACATATCAAGCCTGTACCCCCCCAACCCGGAATTCGGGTCTTCGGGTTGGGTTGGGGCGGTTTGGTAGGTAAAGTGGGAGGTCTGTATCAACGCTGTATCCAGCCAACCTTTGCTGTCACACCGCCGGGGGGGATGGCGCGCCACCACCGCGCCAGGACGGGTGGCCGCAGCCCAGGGGAGCAGGCGCGCCCCCTCGCTCGCGCCCGCGGCGGGGCGGGGAGCAGATCCGGGAACGGCAACCGTCAACTGAGCGACGCAGAAAAAGCGGTCGCTTTTATTCAGTGTTTTGCCGATCGGCACGGGCCCTCACCCCCCCCCCCTCCCCCCCCAGGGAGTAGATCTTGGCTGTTTCCTTTGGCGCCTGTTTCAGGCAAGTGAAGTCTCCCCCACAGGACGCACTGTTGCAAACAGTCGCATTTTGCAGAGGTCCAGAGCCAGACCCCCCCCCCTCCCCCCCTTCCGCCCAATGTCGGAACGCCGAATGAGAAAACGCTCACGAACGGGTTCGACTGCATCGACGTTCGCGCGGAGGCTGCCCGCGTAAGGTCGCCGCGCAAGCGCCTTCGGTCCCGCTGCGGCGTGCCGCGATGGCGGCTCGCGTGAGCCATCGCGTAATGGTTCTGTGCCGTCGCACGTAAGACCTGTTTCTGTATCGTTGATTTCTTGCCAACTGTACACTTGCACCGATTTTGGCCAGGCCGATCCTGGGTCCGGGCTCTCGAAGAGGGAAACAATGCAGGTCTGCGCTGACACCCCCTGGAGGCGCCTCTGGCGCCGCCCCTGGCGCGCTCCGCGCGCAAGGGTGGGGGGCCCAGCGAAGATCCAAGCAATCCTCGCGTACCTCCGAAAGTTCATGTTTATGAAGGTTGTTCCTCCTCAGGAAGATGTGGGAAAGTATGGCAAGTGCACAGGGGGGGAATATGAACATGCAGAGAGAATACAGGAGAAAGGTCGGGGGATCCTGGGCTCTGTGTCTCCCGATTTCTGTGTCCCTGGGCCCCTCGATGCGTTGGCGTCGGCTCCTGGCGGCGTCGCAGCCTCGGGAGGCCGTCCAGCGGCTGCGCCTCGCCCGTCGCGGGGAGGGAGCCGCTGCCCAGGCCGGCAGGCCGCACAGTCCCGGTGGTTCGAAGGTCGGGGTCCGGAGGGGCGGTGGTCCCAAGGGGCGAGGGTCGGAGGGTGGATGGACCTCCTAATTACCCTGACACGTCGACGAGCGAATGGGCCGTTTTCGGTTCGCGAAAGGGCGTCGCGGCCGTCATTTTTGCGGGTCCAGGTCCGTCGGTTTCGGCCTCAGGTCGTTTTCTCTAAAGGGTGGTTTACTAAAGGGAGGTCTGTCCACCGCCGAGAGGGACCTCAAGCACTAAATCGGGCACGTCCCTCTACAGGAGGAATATTCAAAAATAGTCCAGAAGTAGTCGGGGGACGATGTTTTGACTCTTCTTTGCAGTTTGGGGATTTTTTCCCCATCCATCCTGTGGTGTTGGGCCCTCGTCTTTAAGAGACGGTCCCCGCGTTCCTCTCCTCCCGTCACCCCCCTCCTCCCTCCTCCCGTCACCCCCCTCACTTTGGCACACCCTCACACGCTTCGAGACCCCGTAGGGAGCCTGTCGGCACACCCCTCACACGCTTCGTGGCCCCATAGGGAGCTCCACCGAAGGCCCCAGTGGCTGCGCTCGCATGGCACCACCGCACCCATGGCGGTACACCCCTCACACGCTTCGTGGCCCCAGGGAGCTCCACCGAAGGCTCCAGTGGCTGCGCTCGCATGGCACCACCACACCCATTACTATGTTGTGTGACAAAATCCTGGAGAGGCTTGTCCAGGAGGGGTTGTCCGGAAGGGTTGTCCGGATCCTTGTGGGGTTATCTGAGGGGTTGTCCAGGGTCTGTCGTCTTGTCAGGAAATAGCATGGCTGGTCCGGCGGGCTCGATCAGGGCACCGAGATGCGACTTCCGAGGTGTTTTGTTCCGTCTCCCGTGAGACGCCCTTCGGAAATTTGGGCGCCGATTTGCTCTGACACGAGGT